AAAGGTTAAAAAAGCTATAGTGCCTTGATAAAGCTGAAATTTTTTTCTTTAGATATTTTTAGGTATACTAGCTTGCCTGCTAATGTTTTGTTGACCATGTCTGGTGGTATCTTAAATATCCAAGACTGAGATATACATAGCCTCTTCTCACTTAGCGATGTACTCGTCTACAGACAACTTGGACTTATGACGGGCTTTCTGACCAGTATGCATTCCTAAATAATGTATATTAAAGCTGATTTCCTCTATTTAGTTTATTACAGTATACAGTACATTATTGTACAGACATTTAAAAATGTACTAAACATGTTATAAATTTTGCAAAGGTAAGCTAAATTTATTAATAAGATGTTTTAGTATACTAGCTTGCCTCTAATGTTTTTTACCATGTCTGCGTGACTTAAAACCAAGACTGACGATATAACACCTCACTGAGCAGATTAATGTAGACCTTTATTGAACGGCTTTCGCCAATCATTCTAAATAATAGTATGCTGAAAGCGTGATTTGGCGCTAATTAGTCTTACGTGATACAGTATGATTTACAGGACTTTAAAGTGTCTAAACTTTATCTGTCAATTTTCAATTCTTGTTAAAACATAAAATGGTACACAACCACTCCTTATACACTCACCCATCCCATAATAGCCTGCTGCTATCCCTGATTAGTGTGCTCTGCAGGCCAGTGCCGACGACAGTCGACAGCTATGATCTTTATGTCTTTATTGAATTTCGCCCACAAGTGTAGTGTGCTGTTTTGATTTAGTGTTATAAGAGTGGCTGGAAAAAGAAAGGTACATAAAAGAGTATAGTATGGCTTGGGTAAATATCAAAATAGTATACAGTACCGACAGGATGGTAGGTAAGACACATGGGCAACAGTTAGGCAACTTTATTCTGAAATGTTTCGCCTACACAGTAGGCTTCTTTAGTCGAGAATAGAAAGTAGGCAGGAGCAGTAGAGATGTGAAGACAATGTAATCAGTCCATTACCCTTAAAATCGTGTCCCTTAAGTGATGTGTCAGACCTCACTAGGTCAAGGCATTGGCTTAAGCTGGTGGGGGAATTGGACCTGCCTTGCATAGGCCAGTAGGCCTGTTGCAGTGTTCCTTCTTACCTATGTTCTTATTTGAGGTTGTCATTTCCTCAGCCTGGAGGGACTGATTACCTCAAACTCCTCCTCTCCTTACACCTTTCTGCTTTGTATTGACTGAGGAAGCCACTGTGTGGCAAAATATTTCTTCAATAAAGATTCCCATATGTTGCATAAGTGTCTCAATCTTCAGTGCTGGGTAGGTTGGATCTGAACCTGCATGTGACAGTCTTCCGAGTAGGGTGATAGAGGCTAGGACCTTGGGTAGCTTTAAAAAGAGATTGGACAAGTATATGAGTAGACCTTCTGCAGTGTTCCTCCATTCTTATGTTCTTATGTGGGATAACGGTGAAGAAGTTTCTTGGCAAGGGGTTCAGCTATGTTTTAGAAGCCGTTGTTTTCGTTGAAGTTGTTGGATATACAGATACCGCAGAATCCTGGAATCATCACCTATCTGTATATCCAACTTCAACCAAAACAATGGCTTCTACAACATAGCTGAACCCCTTGCCAAGAAACTTCATCGTTATTCCACATAAGAACATAAGAATGGAGGGACATTGCAGAAGGTCTACTCATATACCTGTACAATCTCTTTTTAAAGCTGAAGAATTGAGACATGCAACATATGGGAATCTTTATTGATAAACTGTTTCACCACACAGTGGCTTCATCAGTCCAATACAAAGCAGTAAGGTATAAGGATAGGAGATTGGGTAATCAGTCCCTCAGCCTGGAATCGATGTGTTCAGTCCATCACTCTTGTAGGAAGTACAGCACAGGGCCAGCAAAGTGGCTTATACACTGCAATCAGGTGAGTCGAAGCAGGAGGCGACAGGATCACAATGGGACCATCCACTAGTGTAAGTAGGTCTTCGTCCAAAGGTTGGACAAGTGTTGAAGAATTCTTTGTATCAAGATCCCATGATTTGCAGTGTCTGATAGATGTGATAAATACTTTTGAAAACTGATAAGTTCTAGCCCCTATCACCCTGCTTGGAAGATTGCCACATGCAGGTTCAGATCCAACCTACACAGCATTCTCCACCTGACTCCATCCTATAAATACTCACATACCTTTCACCCAGGTAGATCTGTTTGTGATTTGATAAAGCCCACTGTGTGGGCAAAACATTGTTAATAAAGGATCACATTATACTGCTTATGTGTTTAACTTTCCATTACATAAGATCATAAGAATGGAGGAAGACTGCAGAAGGCCTACTGGCCCATATAGGGAAGGTCCTTATCAAAACACCCCTACCCAGAGCTACCCAAAAATTTACTCCCATACCCAGTGACACCAATTAAACCCAGCCCCTCCCACTCATATCTCTTTTTTAAAGCTACCCAAGGTCCTAGCCTCTATCACCCTACTCGGAAGATTGTTCCATGCATCCACAACTCTGTTCGAAAGCCAGTATTTACCTATGTCCTTTCTGAATCTAAATTTATCCAACTTAAATCCATTATTTCTGGTTCTTATCTGGTTTGACACACTCGGTACTTTATTAATATCACCTTTGTTTATGCCCATCATCCACTTATAAACTTTAATGATATCTCCCCTCATTCTACATCTCTTCAGAGAGTGGAGATTCAAAGCTCTAAGTCTATCTTCATAAGGGAGATTCTTTATACAGTAAATCATTTTAGTCATTCTGCTCTGTATGTTCTCAAGTGAGTCTATATCCATCCTGTAGTAAGGAGACCAAAACTGAGCGGTATTTTATACCATTTACTTCCATAGCTACTACTACCACCTCTACTTGTGTGGGCAAACAAGCAGTGTTCCTTCCTTCTTATGTTCTTATGCAGTAGAAGGGACACTGAAACATGTCTTTTCAAATCCATCCATATACATTTGCCCAACCTATTTTTGTATGCTACCCAGCTATAGCTTTTGTAACCTTTCATTCTCATGTACCAGCTGACTTTTTCACCACATGTATAACTACTACTACTACTACATCTACTTGTGTGGGTGAACAGGCCTACTGCAGTGTTCCTCTTTTCTTATGTTCTTATGTAATAGAGAAGGGACACTGAAACATGCCTTCTCAGATCCATCCATATACATTTGCCCAACCTATTTTTTATGCTACCCAAGCCATAACTTTTGTAACCTTTCATTCTCATGTACCAGCTGACTACTACTATTCTTATCGGCAGTTTTCTGAGGTTCGACTTATGTCCATTTTGACTTACGACTGGTTGGTCGGAACCAAGCTCAGTTGTAAGTTGGATGGTACCTGTAGTATGCTCCTTGCTTAGGGATGAATTCATTTACCGACGTGGTCTTAGGAACACAACTCCATAGTTAAATGAGGATAGGCTGTATTTCTTTGATACATAATATTCTATTCCCATTGTTTTTATTTATGTTTTACTTAGCAAACTACAGCTACTCCTCACTTAATGACCTACTTGTTTAACAACTGCTTGGACTTACGACCAGCTCTCTGACCAGTGTGCTTTACCTTTTTGTTGCTTTTTAATGCCTAGTTCTATTTTTAATATACATACTAAAAATATTATAAATGGTGCAAAGGTGGCATTAAAACATTATCTATAGATGGTTGACACAAACTTACTACCAGTACAGTATGCTTGAAATATCAGTAAGGGGCAGCTCCTCGCTTAATGACCAATTTGCTTGCTGACCTGCTCTAGGAATGGAACTCGTTCATTAAGTGAGGAGTACCCGTATATACAACTTAAATTTTGTTTTAATGTTTCATGCAAGCCTTTTCTTAGACAGTGTATTGCCAAAAGATGAATGTTTTCAATTCACAGCTTGAAAAAGCTCACCTGTAAGCAAAACATTGTCTAACAGAGGCTCGCTCTGCTACCACATCTTTGTAGTATTACTACTATATCGGCACTTTTCCCTCCAACCATTCAAGATTTTTGTACATAACAAACATGCAGAAAGATCAAAGGGTATGTCACTACTACTGGTGCTTCATTACATGCTTAAAACCTGTTGTCTACATCTCTTAAATATTTACACTATTGTTGATAATGTGCTATTGTCCTGTTAATTGATCTGCCAAAATATTCTTATCTGATAATTTAAGATCCATCATCTTTTTCTACTGATAAAAATTGTTTTCACCATCATTAATACTAGATAATTGATCTTAACATCACTGCCACAAGTTCATTAATGAAACCTGTATCCAAATTTTTATTGGTTATGAATGCAAAGTTTAATAAGTTTGGAAAAGGCTTTTTATCTAATTTGCATATATGAAAATTTAATGAAGCTCTCATTCTGATTTATTACCATCAGTTCTTGTAATTTGTGGTTACTTTTAACTTTGAAATGGGGCAAGATACTTAACTGGAGAATTGTTTTAAACAGGTTACTGGTGTACTGAAGTCTTGGTGGAAATTAAACATAATTGGCTCTATTTTACAGTAGTTCCTTGGGATAATGTCCAGAAAAATATTTTACATTATAATAAGAAATTAATATCTGAGATAGAGTTCTGGTTTATTTTGTTTTACAAAACTCTCAGGGTTTATTTCCATGTGATGGATATTTTTTGTGCAATAAATTTTGAGTATTGCATTTGACACTTACCTCTATTTCATATTTAGGTCTAGTAAGTGCTGCCTTTTAGTGAATCTTCATGTACAGTAGTTTTGAATAGTATATTACAGTATCATTCCGTCCTTGCTTCCACTGCCTGTTTTCAGTACCTGTTATATCATTGGTAGAAATGTGTTGAACTGGAGGTTTAGGATAGCCGAGAAGACTGAGTATGGGTGGCATAATTCATATTTCATAAAATAATTCTAGATTTTAGTAGCTTGTTGAGCTGTAAGTATAACTGAACTGTAAAGATCTGTATGTGGTATCACATAATAATAATACTAATAATAATAATGTTCTCAATATTTTGTTTTGGTTTTATATTGTTTATACATGCATATTTGAAAACATGAATGTTATTTGTTTAATTGCCTACATGTAATTTTAATCTGTTATGAATTACAGGAAATATTCAAATTATTTTCTGAATATTTCTTTTTTAGATATTTCTCAAATTGAGAATAAAAAAGTTTAGTAATTTTTTATACAATACCTTAGTTTTGGTTCAGTAGCCAGTATACATATAAAATTTACAAGAAGAGTGTTTTATTCATATTAATTGACCTGCTACCTATAATAGAGTTGAATCTGTTGGGAAAGAATTTATTTTCTTAATATCTACAAAATATATGCCACGTACAAACTTCTCCATTATTTAAAGTTGCAAGCTTCATGGACATCTGTCAAGAATGGTTGCTTGGATGTGTGCAGAGAAAGGAATAATTTTGCTCTGGAATAGAGTTTGAAATAGCACTGTACAGTCAGACCTCAAAATTCAAGCAGGTTGTGTTCTTAGAGGTCTGTGAATTTAGAATTGGCAAATATAGCAATATTTTGTTCACATAACTAGAAAACTGTTGATTAGTTTTTATGCTTCATGGCTACCTTACATATTGGAGCAATTTTCACAACAACCTTCCTTTAAGGAAGGGTGCCATGATGCTGGTGAAGGCTGTTAATCAAAGGAATTGGAGTTGTCTCCTTTGACTAAAGGTTGATTATATCTTATTCCCTGGGTACTGTACTACCCATAAATATATTTCAAAGCATCCTCTTCCAGAAGAGCCCTTTTTCATCAACACTCAATATTCTCTGTGATTTTTTTAAATAACCTGACATGAGACAGCTGCCTCAGTATCAGCACTCAAAGCATCACCATTGAATAAAGGTTTATTAAAGTTATAATGCTTCTTAAATTATTCCAACCATTCTTTACTAAGTCTGAAGTTTTCAAAGTTTGAACTCCTCTACCTCCTGCATACATAATCTGTTTTCTTCTGAATAAACAGCTTACTGAGAAGCATATTTCATTGCTTTTGATATTCATTTGAAACTGAAAATCTTCCAATTCCTCCATTATTAGAGCAAGATAACCTAGCAGCAGTGGAAGGAGTCAAATGCCAAGCACTGTCATTATCATGAATGTAATACACTTATATTAGGTACGTAGATCAAAAACTTGGGTGGTAGCAGCTGATTTCTTGCCAGCATCAGTTTACCATAAACTAATCACCAGTATTTATAGCAATGCACTTACTTTTAGCCTCTGTACTCCTGTAATTTTTACTACTGTACATAATCTTTTGGAACTCATCTAGGCTGGAGGTAAAATGTAGAGAATCTTGAAGCAGTGACAAATATATGAACCACTTGACCTCACCCACCAAACAATATCAAATGAGGCTACATTTGTCACTAATTACTGGCTTTTTTTGACCCTTCTGAATTTAGTACTTCACTATGAGTATAATAAGTGAGAAATCTGTAACTATAAAATCAACCAGAACATATCAAGGTGCATATGTTACCTCAGGTTAAAAATGGATTAAGGTAAAACTGACAAAACACTTTCATTTATCATGAAAAGCTACCAGTAATTAACAGTGATCAGTTTGGGTACTAAGAGAATCAATGTGGAAGATCATCTTGTGGAGGGTGCCAGTAGTGACATTGTGGAGGATTTTAGGATGGGTGAGGCGGCCGGGAAACGTTAGCACATCACCGACCTCAGGCTTCAGCCTGCACTTCTGCTTTGGGAACTCCAGCTCACCACCCTGTGGAGAGATCTTTTATGTATCAAGACAGATATACACGGGTGACCCAAAAAGAAAGAAAATCCCCCAAAAAGAAAATACTTTCATCATCATTCAACAATTTCACTTCACTCACACATAATCACTGTTTTTGCAATGATGCTCAGAATACAACAGTTCAGAAGCATATACGTATAAAGATACACAACATATCCCTCCAAATTGCCAATATCCCAAACCCCTCCTTTAAAGTGTAGGCATTGTACTTTCCATTTCCAGGACTCGAGTCCGGCTATATAAAAATAACCGGTTTCCCTGAATCCCTTCACTAAATATTACCCTGCTCACACTCCAACAGATCGTCAGGTCCCAAATACCATTCGTCTCAATTCACTCCTATCTAACATGCTCACGCATGCTTGCTGGAAGTCCAAGACCCTTGCCCACAAAACCTTCTTTACCCCCTCCCTCCAACCTTTTCGAGGACGACTCCTACCCTGCATTCCTTCCCCTACAGATTTATAAGCTCTCCATGTCATTCTACTTTGATCCATTCTCTCTAAATGACCAAACCACCTCAACATCTCCTCTTCAGCCCTCTGACTAATACTTTTATTAATTCCACACCTTCTCCTAGTTTCCACACTCCGAATTTTCTGCATAATATTTACACCACACATTGCCCTTAGACAGGACATCTCCACTGCCTCCAACCATCTCCTTGCTGCAGCAGTTGCAACCCAAGCTTCACACCCATATAAGAGTGTTGGTACCACTATACTTTCATACATTCCCTTCTTTGCCTCCATAGATAACGTTTTTTTTTCTCCACATATACCTCAATGCACCACTCACCTTTTTTCCTTCATCAATTCTATGATTAACCTCATCCTTCATAAGTCCATCTGCTGACACGTCAATTCCCAAATATCTGAAAACATTCACTTCTTCCATACTACTCCTCTCCAATTTGATATCCAGTTTTTCTTTATCTAAATCATTTGATACCCTCATCACCTTTCTTCTATGTTCACTTTCAACTTTCTACCTTTACACACACTCTCAAACTCATACACTAACCTTTGCAATTTTTCTTTAGAATCTCCCATTCCAGCAAAAAGTAACTGTGTCAATTCCCATTTTGTATTTGATCCCCCATAATTTAATCCTATCCCTCTCCCAAACACCCTAGCATTTACTTTTTTTACAACCCCATTTATAAATATGTTAAACAACCATGGTGACATTACACATCCCTGTCTAAGACCTACTTTTACTGGGAAGTAGTCTCCCTCTCTTCTACACACCCTAACCTGAGCCTCACTATCCTCATAAAAACTCTTTACAGCATTTAGTATCTTAATACCTATTCCTTATACTTGCAACATATAATGCCACATATCCTTGCATAACAGAAAATAACACATCACTGGCAAGTGGAAGATGTTTAATCTATTAATAAATGCATGATAATTATTCTCCTTTTTTTGTCCATTATCAAATCAAACAATACAGTCTATGTTTATCACAGAGTATTTAAAATTATTAGGTATCTTCAAAAGGGGTCCTTTAAGTGAGTGCCAAAATTTTTTCTTCTAACCTTTTATTTTTATTTTGCTCATAACACAAGGCCTCATCTGATTAGCTTCACTTCAAATTTTCAGTGTTGGTGTATGGTAACTTTCCAAGTGTATATTATCATGCATCTCTCTCGCCTGCATTCCAGGTAATACAAATCAGGGGGACTTCAACCATTCCCAGTAATTTAGGTGCCTTATTGTACTTGTGTGTGCTGTGCAAGTTCTTTGTACACTCCAGGTCAGCAATTTCACACTCTTGTACAGAAAAAACAGCTCATGTGCTGTCGCCCATTACTTCAACTCTGTTTAACAAATCAGTTGAATCTTCAACTTTCCATACTCAAGATAGCAAGGGTTACCCTGGTCCTTAACCCGTAAACGGTCCAAGCAGATCGACGTTCACATGTGTGGTGCTACAAAAGTAGATCTACGTTTTTTTTTTATATATTTTCAAATACTGTACAGTGGAACCTCAAATATCGAACTTTCTTCGGTTCAGAAGGCTGTTCGAGTGCCACTACCGAACGAATTTATTCCCATCAGGAATAATGTAAATTAGATTAGTCCATTTAAGACCCTCAAAAATACACTTATAAAAGCACTTACAAAAATACACTTAAATAACTGGTTGAGTTGGGAGCAGTTCGATTTTTGAGGTTCCACTGTATAACAAAAAAAAAAGTAGATCAAAGTTTTTTACACATTTTCAAATGTAAAAAAACAAAAAGAAGATCTACTTTTTTTACACTTTCAAATGTTGAAAAAACGTATATATACGTTTGGACCGTTTACGGGTTAAAGGAGGTGATACAACTTAAGTGAACAACTTTAGGCTTGTATCAAACTTTCCCTTACTTATCTAAAATCTTCAAAAAAAAAAAAAAAAAATACATAAGCAAATTTACACTTACCTAATATAACATATTTAACCTCTGCCAGCTTGGGTTAAGGCCCCCCAAAAAAGTATGATTGACGCAATTATACAAATGTTTGAACTGCTTTATGCAGCACTTCCCCTCAAGGGAGGTTCCTTGATGCTGGTGAGAAGCTCTTGATCTAGGGAATTGGATCTGTGCTCCAGTTCCCTGAATTAAGTCTGAATACCTTCCATCCTCCCCCCCCCCCCCCACAGGCACTGTATAATCCTATGGGTTTAGTGCTTCCCCATAATAATAATATGCAGCACATGATCAAAATGAATATCCTCTGGGACTCTCTTCTTAGACCTGTGGAAAGCATTCGATATATGAGGATAACAAAAAGATTAGGTGATGAAAGATTGGATATCAGATTGGAGGGAGAGAGTATGGAGGAGGTGAACGTATTCAGATATTTGGGAGTGGACGTGTCAGCGGATGGGTCTATGAAAGATGAGGTGAATCATAGAATTGATGAGGGAAAAAGAGTGAGTGGTGCACTTAGGAGTCAAAGAGACAAAGAACGTTGTCCTTGGAGGCAAAGAGGGGAATGTATGAGAGTATAGTTTTACCAACGCTCTTATATGGGTGTGAAGCATGGGTGATGAATGTTGCAGCGAGGAGAAGGCTGGAGGAAGTGGAGATGTCATGTCTGAGGGCAATGTGTGGTGTGAATATAATGCAGAGAATTCGTAGTTTGGAAGTTAGGAGGAGGTGCGGGATTACCAAAACTGTTGTCCAGAGGGCTGAGGAAGGGTTGTTGAGGTGGTTCGGACATGTAGAGAGAATGGAGTGAAACAGAATGACTTCAAGAGTGTATCAGTCTGTAGTGGAAGGAAGGCGGGGTAGGGGTCGGCCTAGGAAAGGTTGGAGGGAGGGGGTAAAGGAGGTTTTGTGTGCGAGGGGCTTGGACTTCCAGCAGGCATGCATGAGCGTGTTTGATAGGAGTGAATGGAGACAAATGGTTTTTAATACTTGACGTGCTGTTGGAGTGTGAGCAAAGTAACATTTATGAAGGGATTCAGGGAAACGGCAGGCTGGACTTGAGTCCTGGAGATGGGAAGTACAGTGCCTGCACTCTGAAGGAGGGGTGTTGGTGTTGCAGTTTAAAAACTGTAGTGTAAAGCACCCTTCTGGCAAGACAGTGATGGAGTGAATGATGGTGAAAGTTTTTCTTTTTCGGGCCACCCTGCCTTGGTGGGAATCGGCCAGTGTGATAAAAAAAAAAAAAATAAAAAATAATATCTTGCACCTTAAACTAGAACATTATGGAGTCAGAGGACATACCCTTGCATACCTAAAATATTATTTTAACAATAGACACCAGTTTATCCACAAGCGGTGTAACATTGTCTACTCAGCCAGTAGCCATAGAGGTGCCCCAAGGAAGTGTCCTTGGCCCCCTGCACTTTCTCAGTAATATCAATGATCCAGTGCATATCATCTGCTTAAATCTGTTCTATTCACAGATGAAACTACAGTGGACCCCCGGTTTACGATATTATTTCATTCCAGAAGTATGTTCAGGTGCCAGTACTGACCGAATTTGTTCTCATAAGGAATATTGTGAATTAGATTATACTTATATCTTCTCCCACTCAAACCCAACTATGCTTACTAACATGTTAATGACGAGCTACTAAAAGTTGTGACGTGTATGATGACCAACAAACTATTCCTCAATATAGACAAAACCTACATACTGTTGGAAACAGAACTTTAAATATTCAACATATTAATAAATGGTGAGGGCAATTTTTAGGTCTTCAACTTGACTGCAACCTGAGATTTCATGCCCACTGGAAAATTTTTAATTTTCCTGTAACCCCTCAAGGGAGGTTCCTTGATGCTGGTGAGGGGTTCTTGATCTAGGGAACTGGATCTGTGCTCCGGCTCCCTGAATTGAGCCTGAATACCTTCCACCTCCCCCCACACGTGCACTGTGTAATCCTATGGGTTTAGCGCTCCCCCATGATTATAATTATAATTTTCCTAAATTCAGCATGTGTAAATATGAATAATATAATAATTGTGTATTAAAATGTGATGCTGATTTGACCCTTCAAGAAGTTTTGTGTGAAGGAGGGTGTGCAGCAGCCATGGAGAGATACAAGGGAGAGACGCCATAATAAATTAATGTGTAAGCAATGGTTGTGGTGAAACCGTCTAGTAATCCAGCATCATCGAGGCCATAATTGAATGGATCAGCCTCAAACTATAATTAATAAGTACTACTGGAATGTCCCCTGTTGAAGAATTGGGACAGAATTTGTGAGGGCTCCAGAATTAGGTGGTGACAGGAAATAATGAGGCATCGCCATGCAACACATCCAGTATGTATGCCATTAGTCCTTTCATTTAGATTTCTCGCTGGCCAGTATGATTATGTTAGTCATGGGGTAATCCAACTACAATATAAATGGTAAGTAGTAATATAAATTTCTTAATTAGCTAACTTTGGTACATATCCCAACTTTTAGTGACAAACTTTTTCCTTTGGGTTTTCTTTCTTCTGCCCTGGGTATTTGTTCTCTTTACATTTTATTATTTTCCCTCTGTGTTCATGCTCCTTCCCTGTGGACCCCTAGCTCCCTTGCAGTGCTCCTCATTTTTAGTATTTGACTGACTCCATTACTACTACCACTACCTCTCTTGCTCCCATCCCTGTCTGCTGGCCTATATATATTCCCTCTTCTCCTTTCTGTTAGTGTGACTTTATAAACGGTCCAAGTCGGACTGAAACGTCGTCGTAAGTTCCTCTCTTCTATATGCGGGTTATTTGTGTACTGTTCCAATCACGGTATTGTGCCTTTTCTGTTATGTATCGCTGTAGACAAGAGCATTTCACCCCTCCATGGAAGCTGTGTTCATTTAATATCACATACCTGCAAGCCCTTCCCCTGAATCACTTGCAAAAGCAAATACTCAAGAAGTTTCTACAGTAATTGTTAATAATAATATTAAATACACTGATGGATCTAAGCAGGAGTCTACTGGCAGGGCTGCATCTGCTCTTGTTGCCACCTCCCTAGATGAGAACGATAGGAACAATGTTGAGTTAGGCATAAAAATTAACAACTGGGCGTCTACACTACCAACTGAACTGTTTGCCATCCTAAAGGCAGTATAATTAACTTATGACTGAGCTTCACTCTTGATTATTACTGATTCTGTCATCACTGAGGGCTCTTGACTCACATAATGACTCACAATATGCTCATTGGAGAAGCCAGATATAGATACTAAAAAAAAAAAATTCCCCTCAAGGAAGGTTCCTTGATGTTGGTGAGGGGCTCTTGATTTAGGGAATTGGATCTGTGCTCCAGTTCCCCGAATTAAGCCTGAATGCCTTCCACCCCCCCCCCCAGGCGCTGTATAATCCTCCGGGTTTAGCGCTTCCCTTTGATTATAATAATAATAATAATAAAAAAAATTAATGTACAATTTTTATAGATTCCATCACACACTGAATTACTCCTTTATGATATGGTTGATAAGTTAGTCAAAGAAAGTACTGTGAAGGAAAATGTAGAATATAATTTCGGTATGTCCGTGTCTAACATTAGGAATAGTATTAGGACAGAAGTAAATAGTGAAACTGAATGTTATGGGAATGCAGTTATATGCCTTAGTAAATCTATCACTCTATGATAACATGAACGTAACCTGGCTTAGTCTCGGTTATAAGTACGTGTACTTCTAGCAGTTTGGCAGACACACAGATGATGATCAAACTAATTGCAAAGTATGTGGTAAGCCTCATAGTCAGTTTCTTGAACACTATGTGCTTTAGTGTCCACTTATTGAGGAATGTATAGATATTATAAGAACCTATATGATATGCCAAGGAATCATATTAATGAAAATAAGATACCAGGTATATTAAACAAATATCCTAAATTTTCTAGGTGTGCAAGCGCTAGTAAATTTATTGAAATTATTATTATAATCAAGAACACGCACACAATAAAAAAAATCCAAATTATTATTATTAAACTTCAGTTTGAGAAACCAGAATTCTATTCAACATTTTTGTTTAATTCTAGTTTAGCCAAGGCATCAATCAACTTTACCATGCTCCCAGAGGCCCATGTGAGAGGAAATCCACAAAAGTTTAACTTTAATTCTTTGTCATTGTTGAAGGTGTGTGACCCTGACGCTTGATCACCTTAAAGCAGTGTTGTGGTTTGAGTGGTTCGTACCAAGGGGTAGAATCCTCTTTTCTGGGAGGAGATCCTTTCTACCCAAAGGGTGTTTTCCTAAGAACCTAGGCATCTCTTTCAGCGTAATAGTTGGGTTATTTATCCTTTTGTCTAAATTTGCTGACACGGCTGACAATGTTACAAACGTAACGTGATGAAAGCGCTGAAGAACCTAACGATTTCCAGGGCTTTGTAAATAAAATAAAATGTGTGTGACCTCATACAAAAGCATAATGCGTTTAGACCTCAGGTTATTTAGAATATGTAATGAGGATAGGGAGTCAGAGACGATTAAACTATCGGTAGTTTCATATATGTAGATTTGGTTAATGCTTTACTCGAAATAATAATGGCATTTTATGACATCCGTGTATATATACACTACTGATCTATGTATGGCATAATACATTTTATAAACTTTCATCATATAGGTTTACCCCATCTGATAGCTGGAAGTAAATGGCGTATTGCTGCTGACAGTGACTATCAGACGCACCTGACAAGCTTTTATTGGAACAGTGTTTCTCTCTGTTAAGAACTTTATCAAGTAATGACTTATTATAGGTCTTAACTGATCGAAACATGACTTATGAAATCGTAAGAGCACAATTGAAAACAAACCACGGAACTGGTTCTAAAGTTCACAGGCCAGTGCACATACCACTAGGCCAGTTGGCCGAATGGTAAACACACTGACCCGTGAGTTTTAGAGTTCAACTGCCATAGGTTCAAGTCCCACCCGTTCCTTGATTTGATGGAAACACTTACTGCCCCATTAGAAGCTTATCCTGCAAAGTTGTCTTTTCATTATCCGCCAGTTACTGAATGAAAACAGTGAGTTTGACAACCAAAATTAGTCACATAGCTAGTCAGTACTGAGTGACCCACGCAGGTCTACCATTTTTTTTTGAATATATTTATGCTAGGAGTACCTGGTAGAGATGCGAGGGAGTGAGGCGTATGTGGAAGGTACTAGCAGAGGCATCATGATGGTGGGACAAGCCAGCCACCTCGCCCGCCTGGAACCTGGCCACCAGCGACAACACTATCGCTCCCTGGAAAACAAAAGGCTGTATAGTCAATATAAAGGATGAGCAATCTTCATACAGGACTTCTGATAGCCACCCCTTACGACTGAAAATATATTGTGGAGTTCATAATTATCTTCAATTAATTAACCACCAGTTATTTTTGTGTCAACCTTTTCCCTCCAGGGCAGTACTTTTTTTTTATATTTTATTTAAAACATGACATTACAAAAATATAATATATAAAACTCATTTAAGGCTATAAATTAACACAATCCTACCTACAGCTAACATTACACACCACACTTACAACTCCGTGTGGGTACACCCCCCCCTCCCTGCTCCCTCATCCTATCACTTAACCCAAACCTGTTGGAGCTACTCAACAGAATTACATGATATGAACAACACTTTTATATACACATCCCTCGAAATGGTACTTAATAATCGACTACAGACCATGCAATTCATTGCACTGAACATATTATACAGACATATTACCCCCCCCCCCGTGGTTATCCAACCACCCCACTATTTACAACCTAACATACTATAAACAATGAATGTTACCTAATCTAATGTCACACAGCAATGATCAAAACATTAATTTATGTAATTGTCCTAATGGTTCAGTTACATAACAATATGTATTACACAAAAATGGTGATATAGAAAAGTCACAAAGACATACAAAATGACTACAAAGCCATAGGTATAAACTTAGTCTCAAAAATCCAACACATGTAAGCTTCTACACATTTAAACATGCAATTCCAGTGTTAAAAACAATAACACAGCTTCAACTATGACATTCAAGCTCTATACAGCTTATATGGACATAACATAGTGCTATTGACAACAGTACAATACAACATAGAATATAACCATGACATAAGTAACACATACTGTGCCTAGCACGCACCTAACCACAAAAACCTATAACACCACTGTTGCCCAACTTTATTTACACTATCTGACGTACATTAAACTCTTTACTCTCAAAACAAAACTGAAAATTGCAGATCACCAGTGACGAACAATAATGCACAGACATTAATACAAACATATCACAGCATATCTCTGGACACCGTGCATGATCACAGCATCAACACTATGCAGTGCAAGGCACCTAGAAAACAAGTTGGAGCAAATACATGCAATTATTATAGCAAATCTCCAAATTACAATGTCATTACCGTAAATCAATATTACCACACACAATATGTATAATAAGTGTATAGTCCATGTCACACAAAAAACTGGCCAGCTCCACAGGTGCTAGCACCCGTGGTCCACATATTATTCACTCACGCATCACTCATCCAACACTCACGCAAACATTTGTTGTCATCCATTACCAGGGAGGCGACCCTGTTTTCACCCATGACTTCCCTACCCCAGCAACACTTTCCAATCATACCCTCCCCTCCCTCGTATATTACAAGTCTAATAAAACCTGTAACGTAAGTTGCCTATATCCCTCTGAAAAATCCTTCACCCACCTCCTCCCATAAATTTCCTTATTTCTACATACCACTCATGAATACTTTAATCTATAAATCTATACTTTTGATAAATTTAGTTTCCCATTGAAAAACATAGATGTGACATATTGATCAGGCGCGGCTAACTTACAAATCGCACTGAAATTATGTTTAGATCATTCTACATAACAGATTAATGTAGTAAGATAATTCAGATACCACTATTTACTGCATGTGATAACGTTGTTTATACGATTTTCTTATATGCTGGTCATCAGCACAGTTTTGTTGAGCAATTGAAAGAGATGCATATTGGTTACCAATGTTGAATAGGACACATTTCAAGTTCTAATGTAGCTGTCTATAAACAACCGCCAATCTCAGTCGATATTCAAGTCTCATTTGAAGAAGAACTCGAGAAATGTTATTGCGGTATACAAGTTCTTCATCTTGTTAGAAGTAAGGAAGTTCAACCTCTTTTGTCCGATAAACTGTTATTTTAACTCTTTGTTGTAGACGGTTCTTTTCTTTTAGTCTGGATGTTAAACGTTCAGGTGCTTGCTTTGACAGACTAAGGTCATGCATCGGATCATTGAGTTCTTGGAAGAACCGCTGGGGTGTTGAAATGCTTATGTGGAAAATTAAAATTACCTGGATGAATCTCATTAGATACATACCAGTAATTTAATAAAAGTAACAAAGATAACTATTTCTTACCAATTGTTACAACTCTGAGGCATGTAGAATATTTTGAGACACCTAGGTCACCAGAGAATGTCTCCCTTCGAACTACTACTCTCATATCATCCCACAAGTTACTCTGGACCTATATTAATTTCAATTAAATAAATATCACCAGGAATTCTGGTATAAATATATGGACTGAATGTTAAATTTAATAAATGACTACATATACACATTTATGTAACAGAAGGAGAATTTATAATAATAACAACATTCATCAATTTTGTACTGGAGATTAGAAAAAAGGTGTTCATACACAAACCCCTCCTATAAAAAACCATACCCCCGGCCGGGATTGAACCCGCGGTCATAGAGTCTCAAAACTCCAGCCCGTCGCGTTAGCCACTAGACCAGCTAGCCACAATAAGATTCATCCAACTAGGTATATTTCTACACCATAGGAAAGTTAGCACAGGCACCTCTGTGACCACAAATGCAAGTTTTTACAGACGTATCTCCAGCTAGCGCTGGACCGTGACGAACTCTCTATTCCAAGTCCCTTCACTGGCCGTCAACACTGACTTAATAAAGATCGAAATGACAACGATTGCAAATAAACCAACCCCCGCCGGGATTGAACGCCGCGGTCATAGAGCCAAAACTCCACCCGTCCGCGTTAGCCACTATGGTTTATTTGCAAACGTGTCATTACGATTTCTTAAGTCATGTTGCACGCCAGTGAAGGGACTTGAACTAGAAGTACGTCACGGCCACGCTAGCTGGAATTCCGTCTGTAAAAACTTGAATTGTGGTCACAGAGAGTGCCTGTGCTAACTTTCCTATGATTGTAGAAATATACCTATTGGATGAATCATATTGTGGCGCTAGCTGGTCTCGTGGCAAACGCGACGGGCTGGAGTTTTGAGACCTATGACCGCGGGTTCAATCCCCGCCGGGGGGTAATGGTTTATTTTGCAATCGTGTCATTACGATTTCTTAAGTCATGTTCCCACCCAAAATTATGAAGAAAATTACTGGCCAAAATTTCAACATAAATATGAGACATACTCCAACTGGGGTAAATTTTAATACTTTTCCCCTCTAATTACGTGGAGTCCTGTCCAGTTGCCTGTTTATCATATCCTGCGGGCCTGCAAATCCAACAATTTCTGCTCCTATTTGCGAGGTTTTAAACACAATTAACCTCTAGAGCGAACGAAAATTCTTCCGATTTCATTAACTTTCTCTTGCCAGTTTCAAAAACAATGGCCTCCTCCTCCCCAAGCGATGCTAACACTCTCCCGGTTTCCTTTTGTTTAAATACAAATAAATTTTTATTAAAATACAATAAATTTCAAATCAATTTACATACAAAATACACGTATTTTCGAAAAATACATTATTTTCACAGCATAACTTCATATTCACATTCCCTGCAATCACCTGTAAACATCTAAACGCTGAGTTTTACTTTCAACATCTGATTACGGAAGGACAAGCATGTTGTAAACACTCTATGGGAAATATCTTCGCTGAGTGGCAACAGTCTCGTGCTGACTCCAAAATCAGGAGATATTCCCACTTGATTTTCTTGTATCGATTGAAACCTTTCACATTCACAATACAGAAATAACAGTCGTTTACCTGGAGAGAGTTCCGGGGGTCAACGCCCCCGCGGCCGGCCCGGTCTGAGACCAGCCTCCTGGTGGATCATGAGGCCTGAATCAACCAGGCTGTTGCTGCTGGCTGCAACGCATACCAACACACGAGCCACAGCCCGCTGATCCGGAACTGAACTTTAGGTGCTTGTCCAGTGCCAGCTTGAAGACTGCCAGGGGTCTGTTGGTAATCCCCCTTATGTGTGCTGGGAGGCAGTTGAACAGTCTCGGGCCCCTGGACACTTATTGTATGGTCTCTTAACGTGCTAGTGACACCCCTGCTTATCAATGGGGGGATGGTGAATCGGCTGCCAAGTCTATTTGCTTATACGTAGTGGGTATTTTCGTGTCAGTTCGTACTAGTCCCTCTAGGATTTTCCCGGTGTATAATAATCAGTATCTCTACTCTCCTGCGTTCCAGGGAATACAGGTTTAGGAACCTCAAGCGCTCCCAATAATTGAGTGTTTTTAATCTCCGATCTGCGCGCCGTGAAAGTCTCTCTGTACATTTTCTATGTCGGCATTTTCACCTGCCTTGAAAGTGCTGTTAGTGTGCATCAATATTCCAGCCTAGATAGAACAAGTGACCTGAAGAGTTGTCATCATGGGCTTGGCCTCTCCTAGTTTTTTGAAGGTTCTCATTATCCATCCTGTCCATTTTTCTAGCAGATGCGATTGATACAAGTTATGGTCCTTGAAGGTGAGATCCTACCGACATGATCACTCCCAGGCTTTGACGTAGGTGTTTCGCTCTATTTTGTGGCCTAATTTGTTTTGTCCTCGATGAAGAGTTAATATCCTCATGTTTATCCATATCCTGTAGTAATTGAAATTCTCATCGTTGAACTTCATATTGTTTTTCTGCAGACCCACTAAAGATTTTTTGTGGTTGATGTTCTGGCCTGGAGCTTTGCAGTGTCTGCAATGGAAGACCCTGCATGCAGATCGGGTGTCATCTGGCAAAGGAAGACACGGTGCTGTGGAAGACATCCTGTCTATGTCGGCTATAAGGATGAGAACAAGATGGGAGCGAGTACTGTGGGCCTTGTGGAACAGAGCGTTTCACCGTAGCTTGCCTCGGACTTTACTCTGTTGACGACTACTCTCTTTGGTTCGGGTTAGTGAGGAATTATAGATCCATCGACGCGACATTTCATGTTATTCCTTTAGCACGCATTTGTGCCCGCTATAACTCCAATGGTCACGACTTTCGAAGGCATTGCAAAGTCTGTATATATTACATCAGCATTCTTTTTGTCTTCAGTGCTTTAGGACCTTGTCGGAGTGGTCCATAGTTTGAAGACAGACAGAGCGACCTGTTCTAAACCCATGTTCCCTGGGTTGTGTAACTGATGGGTTTTCTAGATGGCGTGGGATCTTGCTTCTAGGACCCTTCAAAGATTTTATGATAATGGGGATGTTAGTGCTATTGGTCTGTAGTTCTTTGCTGTTGCTTTACTTGCCCCTTTGGTTGGAGTGGGGCTATGTTCTGTTGTTTTTAGAACTGTGGAGACGACCTCCCCGTGTACCATGCTCCCTCTCCATAGGAAATGGAAAAGGCTCGTGATAGGGGCTTCTTCAGTTATCTTGATGAACACAGAGTTCCATGAGTCTGGCCCCTGGGCAGGAGGTGCATGGCATTTCATTTATTCGCCTGTTTCGAAGTCATTTGGCGGAGGCTTGTAGACCTAACACAATGACAGTTATTTGGTCTCGACCTTTACCTTGGCTAAAACCTTCCACTAACAATCATTTGAGGCATTTAGCAGTTCTGGCAAACATGACTCTGCAAGGTTACAGGCCAAACTCCCCCTTTGCCTGTTCCCTCTGGTCACAGTCTGTATAGGTTGTAACCTGGGATCCATATTTCGTTGTCCTAAGTGATCCTTTATGTGGGTCTCAGTGAAAGCCGCGACCATGCCTTTGCCCTCTGCAAGCAGTCCAACGATGAAATGTATTTTGTTGTTGTTGCTGGCTTTAGAAGACCCTGTATATTTGCAAAAGAAGACATGTTATCGGAACTGGTGGTATTGTTGGTACTGGGGGGGATTTTTTTTCCGGCATAGTATCTGTAGCTTTGGTTTGGAGTGGAGGCCATCGACGTGGTCCACTCCAGGAATGACTGATTGTGTACGGATTTCTGCCATTTCCTGCCAGTATTTTTTCCTTCCTGGCACTAAAAAACCTCTCCCTCTTGAGTGGCTGTGGCTACCCAGGTTTTCCCATGGCCTGGATGTTTTGTATCTTCTTTTGTCCCCATTAGAAGTTTATGCCTGCAATTTTAAGTTAATAGCACAGTCGAGTGGTGGTTTTACAACTCTCTCCACACCATAGGCAGAACACCGATGTTTAAACATTTCTTTTGCCTATTTTTCCACTGTGGTAAACATTCTACACAGGTTTTCCAAACTATATGGGGACCCCAAGACTTGTCTTGTTCTCTAAGCGACACTCCAAAATAAGCAAGATAAGCATGTTTTGCATCTTGTGATTTATTTTCTTTGTTTCTTGCAAGAGTTTTGCCACAAATGTAGCAAAACCATTGGGATTGTTTAGCAGAACTCATCGTGAAGATCTCCATATTTATCCGGAAAAAATAAGAAAATAAAATTTGCAATATTGTTCCACGTGGAACATTGTTGAATACACCTATCGTTAAATATTAAATAATTTTAAAATATCATTCCAGTTTTTATTAAAAAAATGATCTGTATATACAAATTGTCCTTTTACGAACTGTACAATACACGTGTTATTGGCAAGTTCCCTGTTAATAGAAGGTGTAGTATGCAATATCCTCACAAACTAGACAAACTTTAACAAAGCCTACTGTCATTTTCGAATTCAGCAACGCAAAATACTCTAAATAACTTCCAAATATCTTGGCAACTATTTTTTTTTTTTCAGTTCTGAAATTTTTTTCTGAAATTGTTAAAAACTGTGGAACTGTTGAGAATGGCGTTTCCCTAGATCGGGTTCAAACTTCTAACCATGATGGAGTTTATTAAGAGAAATCATGGTATTTACTCTGACCTGTGTAAAGTTTTCTATTTGTCAATTTTATTACATAAATTGCTTTCCATGTATTAATTAGAGAAATTTTCTTCGAAAGGCTTCAAACCCTAAACGCTGTGTATCTAACGGGAGGTATTTTTGTGTTAGATTTTGGGCTGTTTTGAGCCAATTATACTCTATTTCAAGCAATTTTATAAAAAAAAAAAAAATAAAAAATTATTCTACCAGGATTGTTGAGAATTATGGAATATAAATGAGAAAAAACTGAAAAATATTAAAAATAAGAATTCTCAGCTATTTTATAAAAATTCACGTATTCTGCCATATTACATTAGAGTTATATACGTTTGTATACTTATACTGTATCAGTATAATGTAAACAGCTATCACCGGCTTTTTGGATTCTGATGAAAGCTCTTGAACCAAGAGCAGGAACAACTCCTGCTTCCTTGGCATTCCCTAGCATTCTATGAGCCCAACGCGGTTAGTGCCTCCCCAGCGTACAATACAGCACCAGCATACAATTTCACAGGCAGCATACAATACAGCAGGCAGCATACAATACAGCAGGCAGCAATACAATACGAGCAGGTCGAGCTACAATACAGCAGGCAGCATACAATTCAAGCAGCAGCATACCATACAGCAGGCAGCATACAATACAGCAGCCAACATACAATATACAGCAGCCACATACAATACAGCAGCCAGCGTACAATACAGCAGCAGCATAACACTAGGCCAGCAGCATACATACAGCAGCCAGCGTACAATACAGCACCAGCAACAATACAGCAGCCATCATACAATACAGCAGGCAGCATACAATACCGCACCAGCATACAGTACAGCAGCCAAGCGTACAATACAGCACCAGCATACAATACAGGCATTCCAGCATACAATACAGCAGGCAGCATACCAATACAGCAGGCCAGCATATAATACAGCAGGCAGCATACAATACAGCAGCCAACATACAATACAGACAGCCAGCATAGCACTACAGCAGCCAGCATACAATACAAGCAGCCCACATACAATACAGTGCCACAAGCAATCAGCAGCCAGCATACAAAACAGAACTGCCTAGCATACAATACAGCAGCCAGCATACAATACAGCAGCAGCATACATAAAAGAGCATCCAGCATACAATACAGTAGCCAGCAAACAATACAGCAAAGCAGCATACAATAAAGCAGTCCAGCATACAATACAGTAGGCCAGCATACAATACACCGCCAAGCATCCAATCAGCAGCCAGCATACAATACAGCAGCCAGCATACAATACAGCAGCCAGCATGCAATATAGCAGCCAGCATACAATACAGCAGCCAGCATACAATACAGCAGCCAGCATACAATACAGATACAGCAGCCAACATACAATACAGCAGCCAGCGTACAATACAGCAGCCAGCGTACAATACAACAGCATAATAAACGTTATTAAAGTAATAATTTTTAAAATTAAACTAAATTTAACAATGATAATCGTTCACATATACGTAGCCGTAGATGTGTTCACAGTCCTGCTGGTGGTGACGTGTCTGCTGATGCTTGATGAGTACAACGATATTTGTTTTTTTCAAACCTCTTCAGTTTTCACTCTAAAAATCTTGTATACTAAGTCAATTTGAGCTGGCTCAAAGTTCACTTCCCATCATTGACAAAAATCAGATAACGTTTTATTTATATTTTGGTTGACGCTCATGTTCATTACTTTTGTGATAAATGTCTCAAGTTCAGTCACGCCACTTTTTGTCCATGAAGTCTCCACCAAATAGTAAACATGGAAAACAGAGTAAAGTGTTTTTTTCGCCACAGCCACAAAGCCATTCACTTTTCTGGTAAACACTGACGCTAAACTGCCGCGTATATTCTTTCCTCCTGCTGGAACTTTTTTGTAGAATGGATAAAACTGGTGTATGTCGTCCTTTTCTTTTATTTTTACTTAAAATCAACTGCGAAAAGTTAATGCTTTGTAAATATTTAACTGAGTTTACTCTAGTTTCCACTGCCATCGTTTATGAAATAGTAATTAAATTTAACGCTATTGAAAAGAATTTAAACTGCCCTCAACACCAATACCGGCCACGCATTACAACGCACACACTCGCATAAACAGACCGATTGCAACTGGATGTGTGCTGCATCGAATTCAGCTCCTCGTTGCCAGATGTAACGCCAGTAATACCTATACTATCGTACCGCATCAAACTTCTATTTTTAATCATTTTTATCTCGTTTCAACAAGAATAACAACAAAAAATAATAAATTCGTTTATAAATACATTGAAAACAACATACAACAGATTTTTCCTGTAATATATTTGTTGCAAATTATTTTAGCGTAAGGGTGATGAAGTCATACGTCAGACAGTGAGCATCTGGGGAACTGCAGCTCCGTAGCTCCTGTGGACGAGCCGTCACTGCATGATGCTACTTCATGCATCAGTCTCCTTTGTGGATCTGAATAAAAGGCCTTACTGAAGTCTATATACACAATATTCTGACAATGCAGCATGCGATGACTCACCTTCAGACTATACGGGAAGGAGAGTATAAGTTGGTTCTGGAAGATATCATCAAAGAGCCTCTTTATCAAGTGGTCCAGTCCCAAATGAGAGGTCCACTGGTCCACTGTCGGAACTTCCTCCATGCCGGTCTTCTTCCTTGGATCCTGCTCAAAAAATTCACAGATGGAAGCGTGTTTAACTTATGTTTGGATAGTTTTTTTCCTTCAAGGGAGATTCCTAGATGCTGGTAAGGGGCTCTTCATCCAAGGAATTGGATTTGTCATCTTTTTCCCCTTGATCGAGCCTGATTGCCTTCCCCCTAAATATATTATCGTTATTGGATGGGCTATAACAAATTTGATTTTTTTTTTGGGGGGGGGGGGTTATTTTGGAAAATATACTATTAATATACAATTACTTGAAATCATGGAAAGCCTCAGATTATATAGTATATAAATATTTATCTCATTTTTTAAATGAAACGTTCAAGTTTAATGTTGTTTTAAATTTTATAAGAAAGCTTTGCTTATTATCAGTATGTGTTTAATTATTCTATATTTTATATCTTTTCATAGAGAAGGATGGTCCTTTTCAAATACTCTTGGAGGGGTCTCACAGGGCCATCATGAATCCATGCTGTTTCTTAATAAAGTACCCGAGTATCATTGCATTAGGCGAATCTCGCCTTGTATGTTGTGAAGGGCCATGAAAAGGTTGTGAAATGCAATGGAGAATGCATAAAGAATAGAGGCCGTAGATCACATGACCATGAACATATTATGTGGATATGGAAGGCTAGACATGATGAAGGCTTCCCCAGGTGACACCGTAAAATAGTTACCCCCTTTCCATCTACGGCTATGAGAATAAAAAAAATTACGTTAGAATTGATTTTTGCTGCTCTGGGATGGTTGCCTTTTGTTTACATTCCATCACCATTTACCACAAAATAAAACTCTGTAAAAGGCAACCCCTCTTGAATCCACATTATCAAACTATGACTAATAGCCAGAAAGTGCTGAGATCAAATCTCATACTAACAGTTTCTCAATTAATAATGATATTATTACTGCTAATACAGTAATAAAAAATAATAGTAAACAATAGTAATACTGTAGAGAAGAACTGAGCAGGAGTTGGAAGTCAAGTGGAGCCTGGAGGTACAGTAATGGCCATCCCTAGCGAGTGCTGGAAACCACTTGCCGACAGTGTAAAGCAAGATCAAGCAGTCCTCAGCAAAGCGTCTTTGGTAAACGTTTGGGTACTGGTACACTATTTTTTCCAATCACATTGCTGCCGAAGGAGTCTCTAGTGTTGATGTGCCTCTGAATCCACGTTAAACATATGACATAGATTATGTGTGCACGCTCACACACACCACGTACATGCATGGAACCCACACACATGGTACATGCGATAGACCCACTACACACAATACATGCATGGACACACACATGTACATGCTATAACACACACACAAATGTACATGCTATGGCACACCAGCACATGTACATGCTAATGGACGCACACACAGTAATGCTATGGGTACACACACACATGTACATGCTATGGACACACACACATGTAACATGCTATGAGACACACACCATGTACATGCGAGGGAGACACTCACATGTACATGCAATGGACAGCACACACATGTACATGCTATGACACACACTCATGTACATGCTTATGGACACACAGCAAATGTACATGCTATGGACACACACACATGTACTGCTATGGACCCCACACACATGTACATGCTTATGGACACACACACTTGTAACATTGCTAAGGACACACACACATGTAAAGCTATGGACACACACACATGTACATTGATAAAAAAACAGAAAGTTAAACTGACTGTTTTCCCTCTCATCAATTGCATTTGAGAGCTTTTAAACGTATTTGTAGTCCAAGTTCATAGATGAAGAAATATCCAAAATTTATGAAATCGTCCAATGACTCTGAAATACCCGAGAAATTGTAATAGATTCAAATCATTTAAAATTGCTTCATAAATACTATTTTACAACCCAAAGAGGTGACAATCAACCTTATTCAACTTAAAATATGTATGGTTCTCCTTACCATGAAAACGTGGTTGATATTGCCTTCTGTTCTTAAACTTTTAATATTAAAGTTGTATTTAAAAATCTAGATACAGCTAAAAAAAAATCTTTTGATAAAGAATTCACCCCCAAAATGCTGATCGGATGTGTCTATAAGATTCCTTGTAAAATATGGCGATTAAGTTTATTACGTCAAACTGTAAAAGTCTCGAACTTAGATTAAAACAACATAAATATAGCATTAGAGCGGGCCAAGATCAATGCTCAATTTACTTATGTGAGAGACTTAACCATCCAATGATTTTCAAAAAGGTTGCGAAAAGGTTGCATCAATCAAGTCCATGTTGACAGAAATTTAATTGTATCTTGTTTCATAAAAAGAGCCGTTTTTGAAAATAAATATGAATATTTCCAATGGTTTGTATAAATTAGATTCTTTATAAATTAATAAAATTTGGTTAGAGTTTAATAACACATTGGACAAATAATAAACCTTATTTCTTGGTAGAATGATTTTTTTTGGTTGGGTTGTCGTGAGGACCTGTCTATGTATGGACATCAGCGGACCTACTACAGATGTGTCCTTTTTTTCTTATGAGACCGGTATTGACGCCGCGTCAGGTGTTTCTTTGTTGTGGGAGTTGACAGTGAGATGTGGTCTAAAGTCTCTTAAATTGCCCTTCCTTGATGTATTACTTTTCATAGGTATCCTTGACAATGTGAGTAGTCACGAAGCGCTTGGAATTTACACTACTCTTTCAACTAGTGGTTGTTTTGCCTATATATATAAACAATATATATAAATATATATATATATATATATATATAAATATATATATATAAATATATATAAAATACTATAATATTATATATATAATAAATGTAAGACAGCAACCGCCCCGGAGAGGCACTACTGTCCTGCCAATGTGATTGTAAAACGGAAGCAGTAATGTTTTACACGATGGTTGGACTGCGAGTCTTTTTTCTGTCTGATACACATGCAAGATTCAGGTAGCGTCTTGTCTACTGTCTACTTACACCTATGTCACACTAACACATAATGTACAAACCTCTATAATACACACCCCTCTGGGTTATTTCTTCTAATTTCTTCCTAGTTCTTTGTTCTCTTGTTATATTCTCCTCTTACCTCCATGGGAAAAGTGAACAAAATAATTTTTCTCCCTAATCCAGTGCTTTTGTAAGAGACGACTAAAATGCCATGGAGCAAGGGGCTAGTAACCCCTTCTCTTTGTATAAAATTAACTAATTTAAAAAGAGAGAAACTTTTGTTTTTCTTTTTTGGGCCACCCTCCCTCTGGGGGATCGGCCGTTTTGTGAAAGAAGATATATATATATATATATATATATATAATATATATAGATAATATATATATATTATATATATATATATATATATATATATATATATATAAATATATATGATATATATATATATATATATAAATGACCGAGCCGAATAGCAGAACTTGCGATCTTGGCTAAATAGCAACGTCTCATCTTGCCATATGGGCCAAGTGAAGCTTTGTGTATGCAGTAATTTCGCTCCAAAATCATCTGAACTAATAAAAAAAAAATTATATTTGGATTGTGTTTTGTTTAGTGCTACGAATTATTATAAAAGTATTTAAAATATATTATGTTGGGGATAGGCTAAAATAAATGCTCTTGTTATATATAAGTTAGGTAAGGTTTCTAAAGATTCTTTTGGGGCAAATAAAAATTTTTACATTAAAATTAATGCAAAAAAAATAAACTTTAGAACTTTATTTATTTTTATTATTTTGACAACTGCCCGATTCCCACCAAGGTAGGGTGGCCCGAAAAAGCAAAACTTTTCACCATCATTCACTCCATCACTGCCTTGCCAGAAGGGTGCTTTACACTACAGTTTTTAAACGCAACACAACAAACCCTCCTTCATAAGCAAGCAACTGTACTTGCCCACTCCAGACTCAAGTCCGCCTGAGCCGGTTTTCCCTAACCCCTTCATAAATTATAACTTTGCTCACAACTCCAACAGCACGTCAAGTATTAAAAACCATTGTCTCCATTACACTCCTATCAAACATGCTGCACTGCATTCCGGCTGGAAGTCAAGCCCCTCGCACACAAACGCCCCTTTACCCCACTCTCCTCCAACCTTTTCCTAGCCGACCACCTACCCCCCGCCCTTCCTTCCACTACAGACTGAACCTCTTGAAGTCAATCTGTTTCGCTTCCATTCTCTTCTACATGTCCAACCACCTCACAACATTTCCCTCAGCCTTCTGGACAACAGTTTTTGGTTAACCCGCACCTCCTCCTAACTTCCAAACTACGAATTCTCATGCATTATATTCACTAACCACACATTGCCCTCAGACATTGACATCTCCAACTGCCACAGCCTTCTCCTCGCCAGCAACATTCATCATCACCCAGGGCTTCAACACCCATATAAGAGCGTTGGTAAAACTATACTCTACAGACATTCCTCTCTTGGGCCTCCAAAGACAAAGTCTTTGTCTCCCACAGACTCCTAAGTGCAACCACACACCCTTTTCCCCTCATCAATCTATTATTCACTTCATCTTTCATAACCCATCCGCTGACACGTCACTCCGCAAATATCTGAATACATTCACCTCTCCCATACTCATCTTCCCTCCAATCTGATAACCAATCTTTCATCACCTAATCTTTATTGTTATCCTCATAACCTTACTCTTTCCATGATTCACCTATTCAAATTCTTCTTTTGTACACCCCTATCCAAATTCATCCCCCAATCTCCGCAACTTCTCATCATGGAATCTCCCCAAGAGCACAGTGTCATCAGCAAAGATCAACTGTGACAACTCCCCACTTTGTTTGTGATTCTTTATGCTTTAAACTCCACGCCTCTTGCCAAGACCCTCGCAATTACTTCTCTTACAACCCCATCTATAACATATATTAAACAACCACTGTGACATCACACATCCTTGTCCTAAGGCCTACATTTCTGGGAAATAATTTCCCCCTCTTTCCTACATACTCAACTTGACCTCACTATCCTCGTAAAAACTCTTACTGCTTTC